CGGCGCGGCGGAGCGCGGGGCTGCCGCGGGGCGCCCCGGCTCCCCTCAGCCCTGCCCGCCGGCGTGCCCACCCTTCACCCCTCAGCCGGACCGGGCGGGCGGCTGCCGCGCCGCGGCCACCAGTTGCGCTTCCCGCTGCGGTACCTCGGCCAGGACGGGATGACAAGTCCGCCCGCTGCCGAAGCCCTCTCGCAATGCAACAAGTGCCCGCCCGGGCGCGGCGGGAGGAGGCGGCGCGGGGGCGGTGGCGGTGCCGCCGCTCAGCGCTCGGGGCGCCCCGGCTGCCACTCACCGCGCTACCATCAAGTACACAGCGGGGGAGTCGGTGCCGCTCAACCCGTCCGCCCGGCGTGTCAGGCCGGCCGGCGGCGGCGCGGTTTCCCCCGGCCGGGCGCGGTGGTGGCGGCCGGCGGCCATCGGCAGCGGAGGAGCCGCGCGGTGGGAGAGGAGGTGCCGGGGCCGGGATCGGGATCGGGATCGGGATCGGGCGCTTTCCTCCAGGCAGCCCTCGGGAGCGGGCTCCCGCGGGGCGGCGCGGTGCCGGCCGCTCTGACGCGCCGTTCGTGTCGTTGCAGCCGCGGCGCAGAGATGATCATCCCGGTGCGGTGCTTCACGTGCGGCAAGATAGTGGGGAACAAGTGGGAAGCCTACCTCGGCCTCCTGCAGGCGGAGTACACGGAAGGGTGGGTTTGCTTTCCCGCGCCCCGGGTGGGATCCGCAGTGCACGAGATCCCAGAGCTGCTGGGCTGGGAAGGAGCTCTGGGAGCGTCTCGCCCAGGCAGCCCCAGGGGCACAAGTGAGGGGTCTGGCAATGAAAGAGACGTAGAGAGGCTAAAAAGCACAGGTGCAGCCTGCGATGGTTTAACCAAAGGTTAGAAATTGCAATAGGCAGCAACAAAGTACTTATTTCCCCACTGAATCTTTGAGGGCGGCAGTGTGGAAGTTGGCCCTTGTACCCAAACATTCCCAAATATTTAACTCTCTACACATTTGCTTGTTTCTCTGCTTCCATATACCCAACTTTGACACCAACATGATCAGTTTTTTAAAGGCAGAGAAGTAAAAAAAGTTAAAAGTGTAAGAAGTGTTTAGCGATTTTGGTTGGGTTTGTTTTGGTTTTTTTTAAGCATTTAACCCAGAGTTGCTAACCTGATTTTTAAGTACTGATTTGCTGGAGAAAGAAGTTTTACCTGCTTTAGATACCCCACTGATAGTCTCTGCATCCTTTGCATAGCCAGAGTTTCTGCTGATACTTCAAGGAGCGTGTAACTATGGTGACACTACCTCAGAAGCTTTGAGAACAAAACTTGAGAAATACTTACATTTTCATCAAGTTTAAGTATGAAACAAATAAAAGTATCCATGGATGTTTGCAATTCAGAGGAGTGAAAAAGCAGTTAGAAATCTAAGTGATGTTGAAGTAGAATGTAGGTGTTAAGTAGAAAGCAAATAAGTTGGTTTGCTTTCAAGGGGTTGGGGATCCTAATAGTTTTTACAGGTAAGTTTATTTCTTTCATGTATGGAGTTGAAAGCATTACAATACCAGGGGCTGTTAATTATTTTTCACTCATACTACAGTTTAGCAGGATTTTTGATAGTGCTTCTGACATGTATTCTAGGCATTACATTTTAATATTTTTCTTCAGTATCCCTCTGCTTTTGTGTAGGAGTTTTGTGTTCTCATTGACAAATGCTCACTTGAAAACAGTTGTGGTCACTGGCTTGATTCTGGACAAAATAGGAAAACTTGTCTAAATAATCAGTAGTTTAAAAAGACACCCACACCTTTCTGTTTGCCCCTTAAAAGTGCTCTTTTTGCACAAGTCCTTGGAAGCTGGAGGAAAAGGCAAATACAACTAAAGTTGTCTTAAAGTATACAGTATGACTTTGGAAGTTGTGATTAATGTTAGTATTTTGCATCTCTGATAACTGCATATGAGAGTTCAGAACTCTCCAGTTAGCTCTTAAAATTTACCTATCAACAGCCATCAGATGCTTTTGTTCTCAGGTGTTTTGGAAAATTGAGGCATGATGTGATGTTATTTATAAACATTTTTTATAATGCCCTACAGTGCTCTTACACTTGTCTAAAACAAGTTTTGCAGGTGCTGTCCTAGGAGGAGCAGCCCTGCTGCACTCTCTACAGTTGCAAGGACTGAGTGACATCAGAGATGCTGCTGGAAGTTGGCTCCTGCAGTTAGACTGCACTGCTTGGAGCCAAACAACCTTTTCCCACGGTCCAGCAGAGGCAGAGGCTTCCTTTCAGTCCTTTGTATTTCAGAAAAGTATCCATTGGCCTGTTCCTAGAGGAGAATTACAAGTTCCAGGAAATGAAGTTTGTTTTGAGCAAACGCTTTATTGCACTGCATTATATCAGTACCATCATAAAGACCTGAGATCAGTCATGTCTCACAAATGTCACATTCTGAAGGAGTATCAGACTGGATTTATGGTGGAGGTTGCAGCTAAAGATCCTGGTAGTTCTGTGACCTTTAAGAGGACTGATAGGCACAGCCAGGGAAAACACCCGCAGTGTTCAGCTAGGGTGACTCAACATCCTCTGCCCAAATGTGAGAATCTGAGCAGTCACTCCAAAGGAGTTCAGTGGAAAGACTGAAACACTGATTTCTGACCAGCCTGCACCTACTTACTTGTATGTATGTTGGGGGCAGGTTGTGTAACCGAGTGCCTTCTCCCATGGGAGCTGGGAAGGATTGTAGCCATCCTCAGAATTAGCATCCCTGCGTGGGGGAGGTTGCATTCCGAGTTATTTTAGTTTCTGTATATCTCACCTTTTTAGCGTGGCTCAGAACTTAAATTTGTCTTGTGAAATAGACAAGAATCATCCTCAGTTTACAGAAACATGTTAAAACAGTGCCCTCCGAAAGCTGTGGCAGCTGGGGACCCTTCTCAGCAGCAGACCCTGTGCTCTGGCCGGCTGGAGAACGGGCAACCACACTCAACAGCACCAAGGGAAAAGGGCATTAACAGCACGTGCTGAATTTCTGTCTGTCTTTGAACTGCAAGCAAATTTTCCTCTATGACTGAGCTCAAAGTAATCAGTGTGTTGCTTAGGAAACGTTTACAAGTGGTTCTGACTCACTTCATCTGTTATGTTTTTTAATTGTTGTTCGTTAATAGAGATGCCCTGGATGCCCTTGGCTTGAAGAGATACTGCTGCCGCAGAATGCTCCTCGCCCATGTGGATCTGATTGAGAAGCTTTTGAATTATGCACCCCTGGAGAAATGAGATGGAAAAAGCACTGTGCTGCAAGCCATGTGGAACGTATCTCTAATTTAAACTTGAAACCGGACTTCAGGCAGTAAAGGATGAAAGCCAACTGTAGTGCAACCATCAAGAGATGTTTATCTTCTGGATAAAATACTGCCCCAAGCCACTAACCTCTTTCAAGGAAACAGGAATGATGAAGTCCACTTAAACAAGATTTAGAGATTAAAAGTTTGGATGTTTCTTCTTAAATCTGTGTTTGGAGTTGTGAACTTCCAAGATGCTTCTGCCAGTAAAAATAAAAGTTTGTCCATGTAGAAAAACTATTATAGTTCATTAAAATGTTGAAATAAAGGAGGTTTTTTCCTTGTAGCCTTCCTACAGTTTCTGGATAAAGTGTATGCTTGAATCTTGAGGGTTACCTTAAGGTTAGAGGTACTGCTGAGTACCCAGTTCAGCGTCCTACAATAGCCAGGCAAGGGTTAGAAACACAGGACTGAACTGTGGTTCCAGTGACAAGGAAGTGGGTAAGTTTGTGAGGCAGCTCCAGAAAGCTGCTGGAGCCTGCAGAGAACGCTTCCCACCGCAGTTAAAGTCAACTTGTGTTCTCTGCCCTGATCCTTACCAAACACTGGGGCTGCTGTAGCACAAAAACACTGATTCAGATGGTGCAGTGCCTTCATTTGAGCAAAACACGTCTGAGTGTCTCCACGGAGAGCACTGGATGTGAGAATTGAGGCGTGCTGGTGTGAACAGGATCAAAGTGCTGCTGCTGCCAAGCACCTGCACCCCTCTGTGGCTGGTACAAACGCTCTCCACTGCTCATCATCTCAGTGCCTTCACGTTGCACTGCGCGTGTGCTGCGCTGCTGCCCGGCCCAACAGGGGCTGCAAGGGAGAGGGCAGCTGGAGCTGCAGGGCTGGGAAAGCTCACCTGCATCCAGGCAGGCACTGACCCTGCCCCGGGGTCTCACCTTGCTCTTGCACAGTCAGCTTGTAAGTTGGATCATGTTTTCACTCTGTTTTCTGCCACGCATGAAGGTGCATGGTGCGTCCACAGGCAGACACGTCCATCTTACCTGAAAGTGAAGGAGGGCCATTCCTGCACCTCTGTGGGTTTGGGATTCTGAGCAAATGCAGCATTAGTTCACCATGACAGCAGCCCAGTAGAGAATGGGCTGGAAAGGGGAGTAATTGCTTAGGACGCAGTCTTGCTCCTTGGTGCAATTAAACTTTTGGCACTCATGTATCAGCTGCAGGGTAAGAAGTATCTCTGTGGATTCTTTTCTGTAGTACAAAGAATCTGGTTTGAACAAACCCTGGGTTTACAGAAATAGTCATTATTTAATGTGCTTACTGAGTCAAACTTGTACCCACAAAGCTTAAAACTAGATTGTCTCACAAAACAAGAGGCAGGACTGCTGCTTGCCTTTGGCTATCACCCAACCAATCTTTACACTTGAACTTGCTTTTCAATTTACTACAAGACAGTAGTAGATGTTTCTCATATTCAGCAATTCTTCACTGAAGACATCTTAAAACCTGTGCTTTACCCTAATGCAAAGAGAATTAAGCAATTAATTCTAGCATTTGTTTCATAGTTGGTTGGGTAGCTTATGTTCTGCATGCCTGCTGTATTAGCAAGCTGAACACACTTTATAAAAACAAACCAAAAAAAGCCCTTCACTTCTCTCTCAGGCTATTTTGTAAAAGGGACACTGAACTAGAGGATGACCTTTCCCAAGTGAACTCGTGTGGGATGCTTTTCCCTGTCAGAGTGGGGTGAGACACAGCCCTGCGTGCCAGCCTGTTCACAGATCCATCGGGCCCCGCGCTCGCTCCGCGAGCTGGGAGCGCAGCAGCCCAGACGGGAACGTCTGGCAGAGGCAGCGTGCAGGAATGCCGTGCAGAAAGCTGGCCTGCAGCACTGCCAAGGAACTGGATTAGATGAGCTGACAGCACTTGGTTTCTATCTGCAAAAGCAAATTTCTAATCTCGTTTTCTGCTTTAGAATAACATGTTTCTTTTCAAAGCGGGTGCCAAGTTGTCTGATATTAAAGGTTACGGCTCCTAAATACTTAATAATGAAAATGCAATCTGCAAAAACACAGCAGGGCTTGTTCAAAAACTGCAAAGGAAAAAGAAGAACCCACCTTGGTTGCTCTCATTACTATTCTCAAAACCAGGGTGCAGTGGAAGCCAATGGCAGTCTGGTGTCACTCCCTCAGACAGATGTTACCCATGGAGCCGCAAAAACACCTGAGCAGCAAGACTAAGTCACAGCAGGCACTAATATTAGCTCCTGCAGCCCTTGACACCCTGTGTGCACCACAGCTTTTCCTCAGGAGTTTGCAAATGCAGCATTAACCAAAAAAAGCCATTTCTGTAATGTGGCAAAGCATACGGTTCATCATGATCATGTGAAAAGTTATCTCAAGAGTTTTGTCCTTGGGAGGGTTAGGAGCAGGGGCAGAGCTTAAATCCTATTGCAGAACGAGTCTGAAATTTTCAATGGATTTCTATAAATCCCATCTTTCACCCCTGCTCATTGGTAACTAGGAAAGTAATTCCCTTTTTGCTGTCACTTCCCCTGTGCTACCTTCTGCAGCAGTTAATAACATAAGAGTATTGGATCTGCTTTCTAACCTGCCAGATGTCTTTGGGAAGAGCCATTAAATATGCTCACAACAACCACAGTTTTTCAAGACAAGATGTGTATACACAAAAGAAATAAAAAAGCCTCAGTTTTCCCTCAACCAGAAAAAGAAGCCCTTGACAAAATCAACAGATAGGCAGCAGTGGGGGAAAAAAAAGAAGATAAATGGTAGTGAATATGTCGTCCTTAATCACACAAAGAATTCTGTCAGTTGGAAGGTTTTTGAAAAATACAAAAATCCCACCACTCCTCTGCAGTCACTTACTCACTTTACATGTAAAACATTTTGGAAATTTTTCAAATCTCTCTTGAAAAGCTGTTGCAGGGCTCCCACTAACCCAGGTCGTGGTTTAACCCCAGGCAGCAATCAAGCCCCACACAAGGACTCCCTCATTTCCCACCAGCAGGAACAACTCTCTCTGGGGAGAGAATCAGAAGGGTAAAAGCTGGAAACTCGTGGGTGGAGATAAAGGCAGTTTAATAGGGAAAGCAAAAGCTGCTCACACTAGCAAAGCAAAACAAGGAATTAGTTCACTGCTTCCCATGGGAGGCAGGTGTTTGGACATCTCCAGGAAAGCAGGGCCCCATCAGGTGTAACAGTTTCTTGGGAAGACAAATGGCATCACGCCAAATGTTTCCCCCATTCCCCCCCTCACTTTACATACTGATATAATTTGGTCTGGAATATTCCTTTGGTCAGTTGGGGTCACCTGTCCTGCCTGTGTCTCCTCCCACCTCCTGTGCACCCCCAGCCTCCTCCCCAGCATGGCAGTACCAAAAGTAGAAAAAGCCTTGGCTCTTTGTGAGCCCTGCCCAGCAATAACAAAAACATCTCTGTATTACCAATCCTGTGTTCAGCACAAATCCAAAACACAGCCCCATACCAGACACTGTGAAGAGAATTAGGTCTAGCCCAGCCAAAGCCAGCACACCTGGTACTGGGACAGCAAGCAGTCACAATCAGAGGTGTGACAGAAGACCCTCTGTCACCCAAGCCACAGCTTCCCTTCACACATCACAGTAATCCCAAAATAACGAAGCAGTGCCTGTACACACGGTGGGAGCTGAGGTCATGGAAGTACAGAGGAACTGCTTATGGAGCACAGCGTCCTGCTTCAACCTGAAGCATCAGCACCAAGCTGTGTGTGCTTGCAAGACTTTACGTTTCTTGAAATTACAATTTTCAACAAAAAAAAAACCCTCTTGATCATAATTCTGAGTCCCTCTGCAGGAAGGAAGTGAAATGCTTTTGTGCTGATCTGTAATGAGCCTCAGGTTTTATATCTCAAAAGGAATTTTGCTCTGAAAAACCACCTCTAGTGAGGGTCTTGCCCCAGGGTGATTTACTGAGAGATGTGTGCTGGGCTTTTGTTCTTCCCATGACTTTTCCCTAAATGCAGTCTGGAATTAGATACTAAAGTCTGACTTCTTGTATATGTTTCTTGTCTATATGAACAAATATGAAAACTCTCAAAATCCTGATTAAAACCATTACACAAACCCCCTTAGCAATGTATTTCCATCAAGATGCCTAACTAGCCCTATGGCTACAAAGCTACATTTCACTGATAATAATCTGTGAGAATCCAGAACAGGAGCTACCTCTTTCCCTGTAAATGGCCCTTCAAGAAAAATCAATCCTTGCCCTGACCAAAAAAAAAGCCTATTTTCCTCTAGAATCAGTGTAATTCTACATAGTTTCTAACTTCAGTATGGATCTTAGAAAGAAAATAGCAACTCTACTTTGATCCCTCGCAGAGCAGACCCATGTACATCCACTTGAGCTCAATTAGCCAGCAAGATTTTCTTATTAGTGAAACTTCTCAAGTGAGACATGTCCAAGACAATGTTGCTTCCACCTGGCTCTGACTGCCCAGAATATGAACATAGATTTGCTTTCCCCTTCAGTGCATTTGCACCATGACTTACATTGTGGCTTTGCTTTCAGCCCCAATTTTTATTCAGTTCCTCCATCCAGTGAGAAAGCATTTTTAATTGCTCAGTGGGGACAGCACAATAAATATGTCTGAAAACTCAGGACAGGGAGCATGTGGCCAAGCCTTTGGCTCTGCCATGCTGGATGGTTTGATGTGTCACCCACTGAAGTCTGTGGGAGTCTTTTCATTAACTTCAGTGTGACTTAAAATGACCTGGTAACCTCTGGTGCCCTACACCACTCGGGTGTCCAGGATTAATTCATTTTGTTAAGTTCTGCTAAGAAAAGCTGTTTGACGTGCCCAAGCATTAGCACTCAAAGAACTTTCAGATCTTGCTGCAGACTTCAACCACGTGCATCTCTAGCACATAGGCCACAGAAGAAAATAAAAGATAAGAAGTTACCTCTGGCTGCAGTGACTCCTGCCACTCAGGGGCAGCTACAAGGCTTTTCTTCAGGCTGATGTTTGGAGCAGCACAACATTCACATGGCAGTAGGTCTTGTTTAAACCCTCCTTGCTCTCTCCTTCACACTCCCTTCCAAAAATATATAGGGAATGTGGAGCCAAGTCATGCAGAAAATGTAAGGGTCTAATTCCTCCTTCTCCACGAAAACACATCTTCCAGACTCTGTCAGTCATCCTTTGTGGTGAGCTACACCCTGTCTCGTGCTGTAGGGCACAGGTAGCAGGGGTGAAGCCACCGTGATCCCAAGCACCACACAGGCTTCCCCACAATTACTCTCAGGATACACCTGCTCCTGTGTTTAACACTGAGTCTTGTAACAGCCAAG